ATATCAAGCCTAGCTGTGTTTTTGTGTACCTTTATGTTCATCCACATGCTCTCCTCTGTGTGTTCAGCTTCCAGTCAAAACCTTTCTCTATATATCTATAAAGTTTTAGAATAGAGCTTTCCCTTCTTCCTTGCATTTAATACTTTCCTCTTAAACAAGTTATGCTCTTCCTATTGCTATAGTATACTCTTAAATCCTAGTCTATCCTGGCCATCCAGGATTGCCTCACTGCCTTGAAATATCCTAATGTCAGCAGGACCAAGGCCCGTGAAACTAAATGGAATGAGTTGTTCGTTCTTTTCTATTTCATAATTGTTTCTCATTACTCCATTAGGCATTCTAGGATATACTGCACGGAGCTGTATGTCCCCTTACTTCCCACTCCCCCAACAAACAACATTAACAAAACACGAACATCAGTATTAATATAACTTCAGGACCTCTGAGATACTATATATAGCAGTATTAAGGAATGTGATTATTTAAAACAAGAAAATCTAGGTTTTTGTTTTTGTTTGAAGGGAGAAGTTAGAAAAATTTACAGGTGGATGCAACTTGGAAACTTTAATGAGCCATAATGATCTACTCTTACAAGTTCTTAAGTGTAATTTATTGATATTAACATGGTCCAATGTCACTGGTCTCACAGAAATTAGAGTTACCCTTTTAAAAAAACTTTCCAAAAGAATCATATTAATTTAGGTAGCATTTAATCTCTATCAAATAGCACACACACACACACATGCACACACAAATGCCTTATACTTTTTTATTCTTTTAAAACGTCAAATAATGAAATGTACTATACATATGAAAGAGTATACAAAAAAGTATATATAACATATATGTGTAGCAGATATGTTCTTTTTTTTTTTAAAGATTTTATTTATTTATTTGACAGAGAGAGAGAGAGCGAGAGCAGGAACACAAGCAGGGGGAGTGGGAGAGGGAGAAGCAGGCTTCCCGCCGAGCAGGGAGCCCGATGCGGGGCTCCATCCCAGGACCCTGGGATCATGACCTGAGCTGAAGGCAGACGCTTAACGACTGAGCCACCCAGGCGCCCTACCAGATATGTTCTTAAAAGAAATATAATTAACAAGGATTACATTTCCTCATTTTCTTCTTTTTTTTTTTAAAGATTATATTGATTTATTTGAGAGAGAGAGAGCAAACATGAGGGGGGAGGGAGGAGGGGCAGAGGGAGAGGGGAGGGGGCAGAAGGAGAAGGGGGAGGGGCAGAGGGAGAAGGAGAAGCAGACTCCCCACTGAGCAGAGCAGGGAGCCTTACACAGGGCTCAATCCCAGGACCCCAAGATCATCACCTGAACCGAAGGTAGATGCTTAACCAATTAAGCCACCCAGGCGCCCCCCTCTTTTTATTCTTCTAAGGACTTGAATTATCTGTGCCACCTGTTCTCTTGCCCTCAGGATACAGGGATTCTTTTAAAGAATTTGATGTGACTGGGGAGAGGGAGAGATACCCTAAAATATTTAGGGAAGGCCAATATAGTTTATATACTTTAATGTTCTTCATAATTGAATATAGTATCCACTGAGAGAACTAAGAGAAAGTGACTATATCTTTAATAACAACTGAATAAAAATAGCAGCGTATCTAAAGTCTTAATCATCTAGGAAGTTTGAGTTGAGAGGAAACTGGCAGGGATACCTATCCTAAAAAGATCTTTCTCATCACCTGTTACAGTGTCTGAAATCCCATTTTTGGAATTGCTCTGTTGAATCATGAAATCTTTTAGATATTAGGAATCTCCTATCGAACTAGTTACTCCTTGAGGGATCACATCTTATTTATTACTAGCACAGTTTCTGGCACATAATAAGTGTTCAAGAACATGTCTGCTGAATGAATATTAAATAACATCCATGCAGAGGACATTGGGAAGGATAGTTTTTGAAGCTCGTGTTCAACTAACAATTGTTTGATAGCTTGAAGAGAGTAATCAACCTATAGTATTCTTGACCAAGAAGTGGGACCATTTTAAGCTACATTACCAGGCTCTTGGTATCTTTATTTTTCCAATTCTGGTTGTATTTGATTATATTATTGGAAGTAGGAACTTGGGACTTGAGTTGAGAGATCAGCAAAAAGGAGAGAGACATTTTTCGGAGAAATTCTTCAAATTAAATTATTTAATTAGAATTGTAACAGTTATCATCTATATAATATCATATAATACTTATGATATACCAAGCTATCTATGACTAAAAGTATACTGTTTTTGTAAATATATATACTTACATAAATATATAATAAATATTTCAAATATTATATATGTACATATAGGTTTGTTATAACTTTATTATGATATGGTGTTACCTATGATTCAGAGGTATGAATCCCTAGAGTGAAATGTAATTCCCACTTATATATTATTTTTAGGAGAAAATTTCACTGTCTTGAAGTGATCTGCTTCATGATTCAATGACCATGAATTATATCTTGAAAAGGAGAAAGAGGTTTGTAATCAAGATGGAAACTTTGTGACTATCACCACCATCATCACTTCTACCATTTATTTACACAGTGGGTGCAATGGGGTTGATTACTCTCTACAGTCTATCAACTGTTAAGTTATGTATTGCATAATTCTGTGAAGTTCAGAGATTAAATGCTCTCAGCTAGTAAATAGTAGATTCAGGTGTTCAGAAGAATCAACTATTTAAAGCATTAAATTAGGTGCCCTATCCCCACTAACTATCCTTCTCAAGTACAAAATATCCTCTTAAGCTATGATTCCACTTTCTCTCCTTTGTATTTTTTCTTTCTCTCTCTTCTAACGTCTTCTTTTCTTCCTTTCCATTTCACTCCCTTTTCCTGTGCTAACTTAATGTTCAAAATCCAAAAAGAGGGCAAGAAAGTGGGTGGAGGTTGTGTGAAATAGATGGAGAAAGAAAAGAGGGAAGAGAGAAGTTTGTGGCTGAATAATACCTTATTTACTTAAAAAAATAAAACAAAACAAAACACCCTGGGGTGCCTGGGTGGCTCAGTTGTTAAGCATTTGCCTTTGGCTCATCAGTCTCCCTGCTCAGTGGGAAGCCTGCTTCTCCTTCTCCTACTCCCCCTGCTTGTGTTCCCTCTCTCACTATGTCTCTCTCTGTCAAATAAATAAATAAAATCTTAAAAAAAAAATTAAAAAAAACCACCCCCACACACTCCAATTCTTCCATATCATATATGCAGGTTTGTAATGTTTTTAGGTGAACATATATGTATAAGTAAAAATGAAGTTATGATGCAAATACTGTGGAGGAGAGGAGTGCAATTTCTTAATCCGAAAAACAAAAAACAAAAATTGCATCAAAACACAAACCAAACTCTGTGCACATTCTCAACCATCATCTTTTTTTGCAATTAAAAAAAAAATACAAAAAAAGCTCTTATCCTCTCTTTACTCTGTGATGTGTGTGTGTGTGTGTGTGACTTGCATGCAAAGGAAGACCAGAGACAGGGGGATGATGTTTAATGCAAAATAAAATCCATTTTGTAAACATGTTTTTTATTTTATAATAGCCTCCCTTTTGGTATTTACAGAAGATTTCTCCTTGTGTATTTTTTATACAGGCATAAGAGTACAAGACATAGGAGTACATCTAATGTGGATTACTGCTCATTTGCCTTTTCCAGGAGGCATCGTGTAGACCAATAGACACAGTGATAAGAAAGCTCCCTAAGGACAGTGAGGATTTCTTAGTGTTCTTTTATTAAAGGATGCAGAAAATCTTGTGTCTGGCTACAGATTGATATTTTCAAAAGCATACTCTTAAGACAATAAAAAATATTTATGATAAGCATTAATTTTTTTCAATTATAAACACCATATATACTATATAAGACAATAAGAAACAGAAAAAAACTGAAGACAACAATTCGATTTAGTTCCATTTTTAATAATTTGATGTATCCCTCCCCCCCCCGTCGGTTTTTTTAACACACTTTTTGCCATATATATACACATATGAAAGTATATAATATGTAAAATACATAAAAAGTGAGATTAATAAGTTGGCTTCCAGAAATGCTCTACAAGAGAGAAGGGGAGCCATACTGGCCTTTGGGAGAAACCCATAGTACTAAATGACCTCTTTGTCCAGCCCAGTTCTGTGATGTTGCGGAAGGATTCCTTTGATGGGGATGAAAGCCTCCCTTGTGGTAACGACAGTTTTCTGAACAATTATTAAACATGTACACGTCTGGAGTTCAGTAGGTCTTCCTGAGGGACTTGGGACAGCTTCCTTCATTGATGTGGGTTGCAATGGCTTCTAAAACCTGGGAGTCAAAAGCAACGGGGCGGGGGGGCGGTGGTGGTGGGGGACGCCATTTGCAAAGCCGGAAATGATTAAAATCACAGGGTTGAGACCATTTCCAGTCAGTAAGGGCTTGCCAAGACCACAGTTCCTGCTTCTGGTGTCTACTCTGCATAGAGTAGAGGTTTGTCTACCATAACATTGGCAGTAAGATCTCTCCAGCTGCTGGAGAGCACAGGGCAAGAGTGAGTCACTGGCGTGGCAGGGATCGGGGAAGCGCGCTAATTTGAGAGGTCAGCGGCGAGTCCAGCTCAATGGCCTAGTCTCGCTAGGCTGAGGCGCGGACCCTGCCGGCCTCCGTCCTCTTCCGCTCGCCTCAGGTACAGCCCGGCGGATCCCTCCGCCGCAGCGTGCGCTCCCGGTAGCGCCGCGATCGGCTTTTCGGCAATACCCGGATGGAAGCGTAATGGCCGCCATCAGGGACTCGCAAGCAATGGGGACCACGACAGGTATTCCCTATGAGCGGGGCCACCTAGACTTGTTAGGATGCCGGGACTTCTAGATGGCCAGCCAGGGGGCAAAATGCGAGTTTGTGGGGGTGTCAGGATCCCCTGAACCGGCTCAGGGATCCGCCTCTTGTGATAGGAAGCGCCTGCTAAATAGTCCCGGCTATTCAGCGCTTCCGCCTAACTTGCCGCAAAGTTTTTCTAGAGAAGTCGGCTCTTTTACTCGGCGCTCCTGCAGGCTGCCAGCGCTAACCTCCCGCTTCTTAGCTGGGTTTGCACTACGTTCGGGCTTTTTGAACTCAACATTCTTCCACAGCCTAGGAGCTGGAGCGGGAGCGCGGCGACAGTGTGCCTCCGCGCGCCCGAGGGGAGCCGAACCCCGGAGGAAGGGGCGGATCGGGCGCGGTGTTTGGGACGGAGCGGGGCGCGCGGCGCTCGAAGCACCCACTCGGCGCTTTCCGGGGCTGGTGGAGACAGCATGGGTACTGCTGCGACCGCACCCCTCGAGCTGTAGATTCGCAGGCCCACGGCAGTCCGACTCGACGGCGTCCCATTGTGGGTCCAGTCTCTGGTCATTGGAGGTCTTTTCTTGCAGATACGCTCAGCTCTCTGGCGCGCGCTCCCTCCTCCACAGAGTTGGCCAAAGGCGCCCTTCTTACAGACCCCAACCACACCCAGTGGCAGATGGATTTCTTTGTAACTGGCTTTCTCACTTGTAGGGTCCATTTTGAGTCTGTTCTTAACATGGTGTCCTCATTGTCAAGTAGACAGTCTCTTCCTAGATGGATATGGTAATGGAAAATATATAGGGTGAATGTATATAAGGTAAAATGTTGTAACTTTTAAGTAGACCAACGAAACAGATATGGTAGCTTTAAGGTGCAGAATAGAAAAGTTTAGGTTCAGTTTTCTTTTTAGGCTTAAATTTGGGGGCGTTTAGTATTTGTGAGCTATTTTAGCCAAAACATTCGTAGAGTGTGTTTGGATATCAAAAGTCTGTAAACACCAGAAAAATAAAATAAGTCAATATTTAAGGAATTCGTAAGAATGCTGAACTTTGTGTGGTTGTAGCAACTGTGAAACAAGACACCAAACTGTACATCAGGGTAGGAATTTCATTAACTTGAGTGACTTTGTGTTAGGCCTAGTTTACTGTTTTTTGGGTTTTTTTTTATGCAGCCAGGGATCTGATTTGAGTGTACCTTAAAGTTAGTATTCTCAGGTTGAACAGATAGAAACCATTTAAATTGAGGGAGTGAAATACCCTGACATCTTTCAGAGTTTTAACTGCAAATCCATAGAAATGGATTTATTATCTTTTAGCAAAACTATGTGTTTCTGATATTCATAAAGACATTGCATTGTGTTAACATTTTTCAGGGCGTTAGCATTTCCTGAGGATGGTAAGCATAGTAGACCATGTTCATTTTTCTTAAAATTCTTATAAGTAAGATGAGCCTTAGGTTTGTTAGAAAATTGTTAACAAAAGGGGAGGGAGGGATATAATGCAGGTATCTGACTTGTTTTGCACATCCAAATTACTCATTGTTGCAGTGAAAATAAGGATAGCTATCAATTCAAAACGTTATATCTGGTTTTATGGAAGGGTAAAAGGATAACAACCACAATGAATACCTACTATGTGCATTGATAATGTATGAGCTTTTAAATGGTTGAGTATTTTTTTTTTATCATCACATTTTAAATCCTATCCTATTCTTTCTTACTAGTATATGTGGTCCCAAGTTTTTGTATCTTGAAGCATTCCAGAGGTTATGTTTTAGCATAAATACACAATTTGACTTTAGAATATGTTTTAAACATGTCCTTTAATGTACTTTTATTGTTTATTTTTCTGTCTGCAATTGTTCTTATGGAAGCATTGTTTGCTTTAGATCACTTAATACAACTTTTTTTTTTTTTGATGGTAAAAGACTTGAGTCTTGTTCAGTTTCATTCAGGGACTCTACTAAAAGTTTTGTGATAAAACACTATAAGCAGAAGAAAAGAATTGTGATGAAGTTGAAATTTTTATTAATTATCTGATTTCAGGTGTGTGTAGGCTCTGAGTGTTTTAGTTCTGTATGGGGGTATTGGCTTCACACGGTGAGCAATTTTCATGGGATGTTAGCACAAGTGAGTATAAAGAGGTAGTATTGTGGTAGGATATCTGGCTTAGAATCAGATCTAGATTGTTCTGGGTTTGTGATTTTGGCAAGATTCATTTTCCTGATCTTGAAATAAACAAAGAAAGTGAATTAGATTGAGCTTAAGCTCCCTTCTAAGCTTTGAGTTTTGTGATTTTTATAAATTTATGACATGTTATCATGGAGTAACAATGAAGGGTTATTCGCCAAAATTGCAGAGAGTTTTTTTTTTTTTCCCTCTTAAAGTTAAACACATAAGTTGAATATGAAACATAATTGAATCGAGAGTATAAAAACATTTTACTAACAGGTTTTGGTCAGTTTTAAAATCTTGGTCTTCATTTCCAGATATCGTCTCTTCTTTTGATCACTGTTCCTGATTGTGGCTTTGTCCAAGCATTAAATTGCGTGCCTTTTGTTCCTTGAAGAAGGAGGTATGGTAAAGATTGAAGTATTACAGCATGTAGTCTATTAAGCAGTAAGTTAATACGTTTTGATATTGGACAAAATAAAGTAACCTAGTTCTGTATACATAAGTTTTCATAAATTATAGTTTTATTTTTGGCCTAAATACTTATAGGTTTTCTTTTAATGTAAGCAAAAAAGATCATTTTGGTTTCATAGTTGATTATTTAATACTTCATTAGCTATCTAAAGATAATTTTAACTATATTCTTCTAAACATAAAGACAGCATTAAGGGCTTCTGGGTAATGAACGATGGAGTTATATATGGTTGGAAGATGTTTTGAAGTTGTATAAATGACCAGAAGAGTGTTTCTGTTTTGCTCTAATAAGTGCAAAGTAATGCACCTTAAGAAAAACTGAAATATATTTATATCATGATTAATGGCATCAACATTATGAGTCAGAAAAGGTACTTGAGAATCACTGTGGAGTTATGACTGGTTTCCTGAAGACAATCTTCTGAATATCTTGGTGTGAACAAAATGAAGGAAAAAAAAATCTGCCATCAAATCCATGGTATTATAAGGGAAGCTTTGCAAACTCAGTGGAAAATATTGTACCCTTGTACAAAAACATGGTTTATCTACCCTTGAAACATGAGTGTCTCTTACTGTTTGTTTTGAATAGGTACTGGGATACCACAGTATCATTTAATTCCTTTCACCAAATACAATAAGTATACCCATAAATATAACCCTAAATTAGAAATAAGATTGTTTACATAACTACTAAAATGGCTGAAGTAGACTGTATGAACTTAAATTACTACTTCAGTAATCATAACCATGTTTTGCCATGAGTTTTACTAGTAGATGGCTTTGTTTTCAGGGCCATTTTTCACAAAGGCAGAAATGTTTTATTTTATTAGAAGTTAATGTCTAACAACTACAGTGAGTAGGGAGCAACAAAGCTTAGATACTTGGTAATTACTTATGTTCATTTATATGTCTTATTGTTTCCTACATAGCATTTGTTTGCCCTCTTACTGAATTAGGTTCACAGGGGTACTGTGTTATTCCTGAATAAAGTAAATGCTGAGTGCTAAGAATTTTCTTTACTGTGTTTGATCCAAAATTCTCAGAAAAAGTAATATGATGAAGAATGAAAACTTCAAATGTAATGAAGTGAACAAGAGGCTGCTATATGATGACTGACCAAAATGATTTGGATTATTCCATCTTGAAAAATTGTGAGCAAAGTCTGACTAAATTTTAAAATCATGATTGGTATGACTGCATGAAAGAGATATCAGAATATCAGAATGAAGTTGCATGACTTGAAGCTTATGATAAGTAGGTCTCACATGGGTCTCATTTCAAGAAATGGTAATAGCTGAAAAATATTGGCTTCATGGAGGGTCACATAATTTCACAATGTGGTAAAATCATCACTAATTCCTAATTAAAATTGGGTTGTTAAAGGTTATAGCTGGTAGAAAAAAATATGTGTTTGTTGACCTTGAACAATGCAGGGGTTAGGGAAACTGACCCACCACACAATTGAAAATCTGCATGTATTCTTTTGATTCCCCTAAAATTTAACTACTATAAGCCTTCTGTTGACTGGAAGCCTTACTGATAGCATGAATAGTTGATTAACATATATTCTGTGTTATATGTATTAGGTACTGTATTCTTAATAACATGATAATAAAGTAGGCAAGAGAAGAGAAAATGTTATTAAAATCATAAGGAAGAGAAAAATACATTTACAGTACTGTACTGTGTCAAAAAAAAATCCAGGTATAAGTGGACCTCCATGGTTCAAAGCTGTTTTGTTCAAGGGTCAGCTGTATATTAATTTGTCAACTCAGTATCTCTTCGTTTGGGGAGCCATCTCTCCCCTATTATGAGTGGTTAGTGGCCAATCATATAGTGTTATAACCCAAGCCTAGTCATCCTTATTGCAACAGAGATTGCCTGTTAATCAAGCAGAATCTTGTTAATCAAGAACCCTTCTTTGAAATTGATGTATGAATGCTGGAGAAAGATGCTCCCTTTTCTCTGAAGTGATTAATCTGGTAGGGTGTTAGTGACATTCTTTCCCACAAGTATGAGAACCCCATCTGTAGTAGGAGAAAGTGAGGCCATATGGAAATGGGAGATGGGTGGAGATAGCATGCCAGTTTCAGTTCTAGGGACCATGGTAAGAGGTATCTACGCTTTTCTTTTGATCCTGTCAGTTACCCTGGTGTCCTTCCCAGTCCCATGTCCCAAAATTTTGTATATAAATTAGTTTGAATTGGATTGCAGCAGAAAATGATCTGAGGGGGGCGCCTGGGTGGCTCAGTTGTTAAGCATCTGCCTTCTGCTCAAGTCATGATCCCAGGGTCCTGGGATCGAGCCTCACATTGGGCTCTCTACTCAGCGGGAAGCCTGCTTCTCCCTCTCCCACTCCCCCTGCTTGTGTTCCCTCTCTCGCTGTGTCTCTCTCTGTCAAATAAATAAATAAAATTTTTAAAAAAAAAAAAAATGATCTGATGGATATTTGGCCTTTATGAATTTAAGATCTATAGCTTCAGGTTGATCACATCCATCTACAATTTGCCCTTCCACCTTATGAAAGATGCTCATTGTTCATCATTCATGTATACATTCAGTCCTTCATTCAACCTACAAACATTTGTTGAGTGTCTACTATGTACAAGTATGTGCAACTCTCTGGATAGTCAAGGATTATACCTACTAGCTGAGTGCATGATGGACTTCCTTTAATGTAGCACGTTTTTATATATTTAGGTTATACTGATCAATAAGAATGTGTTGAGAATAATCAGTGCTGTGCTCAGCATTTTAGTGATATGAAAGAATAAAAGGAATTCTTTGCCTTCAAAGTTCTTATAGTTTAGTTAAGGAACCCAGATTAACATATATGAAACAGTACAAACAGCAGATAAATGAATGTGTGATTGTATGGTATAGATTTTAAGTCTGAGTTCTGATAGAAAGGAAATTAGTGAGGGCTGGCAGGTTTCTTGAAGGAGGTATCACTGCAAATGTGTTTTAACTTAGGAGTTGAGTTTTGTTAGGCAGAGAATAATTGAGGAAAGGATGGAGTTGAAAATGGCTAAGGGCTGATCCAAGATGGGGAGGAGGTTGGTTTGACTGTAACAATGTGTATTTTGGGGGAATGAGAGATAGATGAGAGGTAGTGAGATACGAGGTTGAATATTTTAGGTAAACCCATGTATGAGGCATTTGGAAAGCCAAACACATTTTATTTTCTGCTAAGGTGGGGATTTCTTTGAATAAAATGTTTGTATTTCTTTTAGTGTGATGCCACTTGGTGATGCTAAGATACAAAATAAGTGTAATCAAGTGATGGAAATTTATTTGTGGAAAAGACCTTGTTATATTCCTCTGCTTTGAAAATTTTTAAAAAACAGCCATTAATCTGCAATGCTGTTGTGTTTTATACATGTTATATAGGTATATATAAAATTAGTTTCTTTCTATTTCCCCCTTTTTTGAGAGATCTCATAGTAATACTGTCAAAACCATACCCTTCCTCTAGAGATACAGCCAGTTCAAAACTAATGTTGCAATAGATATAAAAACATTCTGAGAGAGATAAGGAATGAAATTAATGTTTGATTACTCATATAGTATTTGTTTTGAGCTCCAGATACTAGGAATGATGTATAGGTTAATTCTTTCATTAAATGCTGTTGTTTACTTAACCTTCTTTCTTCAATAACCAGTTAGCTGATCCTCAACTCAAGAGAGTATATAGGAACATTCCTATATTCCAGGGTTGGCAAACTCTTGCTGTAAATGGCCAGATAGTAAATATTTTAGGCTTTGTGGGCAATATGGTTTCTTTGCACCCCCATCAGCTGCTGTTGCAACATGATAGCAGCCATAGACAATATGGAAATCAATGAATGTGGCCATGTTCTAATGAAACTTAATTTATAAAAAAAAAGGCAGCAGGCAACATTTGGCCCACAGGCTGTTGGCTGTGGACCACCCATCATAGACTTAATGAGGCATTTCATTCCACAGTTTCTCATACTCATATCTTCCCATTATCCTCTTCTCTGGTAACTAAAGATGAGTTATCTTTATTATTTTCTAAGTTCACCTCTTCCACTTGTTCACTAGATTCCACCTCTTCTCACCCAGTGAAGGACATTGCTACTGCATCTCTGTTTTTTTTCTCCCTCATCATCAGTTTTTCCATTTTTGTTGGATGATTTTCATAAGCATGCAATCATACTGTAATTTCTCCCAGTTTTAAAAAACAAAACAAAATAACTCTACTTCAGTTCTTCTGAAGTACTAAAGTACTTTAGTACTGAAGTCTTTTATACTAAAACTCCTTAAAAGAGTTGTCTGTACTCCATCTCCACTTCTCTTCTTCCCATTTCCTCTTAAATCCATGCTAGTCAGCCCTTTTATGGGGCTAATCAAAGTCACCACGGTCTTGACATTTAGTCCAGTGGTCATTTCTCAGTCCTAGTCTTGCTTGACAGATTGATCAATCCCTGATCCTGGAAACTCTTTCTTTACTTTGCTTTCAGGACACCACTCTCCTAACTTACCTCACTGGTCATTCCTTTCATGCTTACTAGCTGGCTTTTCCTCCTCTTTTTTACTCTAAATGTTGTAGTATCTCGAGGCTTAGGCCTTGGACTTCTCTTTCTTTGTGTACTTACTCCTTGGTGATTTCGTTCAGTTCTGTATACATAGATATATATACACACACCAATGACTCCCGGAATTTTACCCCTAGATCTCTGTATTCTGTATTCAGCTACACATCCGCATTTCCACTTGGCTATCAACTAGATATCTCAAATTCTGTATGGCTAAAACTGAACTCTTGGTATACTTTCTATACTTAACTGTAATCTTTCTATATTAATAAATAGCAACTCATTTCTTCCAGTTGCTGAGGTTAGGACTTTCAGAGTTAATCCTTGACATACTCTTTCTCTTCACAGACCAAACGTAGTCTGTCAGCATATCCTTTGGCTCTCTTGTCACCACATGTCCACGGTCTAACCGTGCCTCATTGTCTCCACCAATGTCTCCGTCCTGGCAGTTGTAGTATACTTACCTCCAAACTGGTCTTCTGGCTTTCACTCTTACCTCCTTCCCAGATATTCTATTCTTAACATTGCCCCCAAAGTGATCTCTAAAAAATCATTCAGCTTATGTTATTTCTCTACCCCAAATGCTCCTGTAGCTTCCCATCTCATTTATAGTAAAACCAAAGTCCTTTTGGTGTCCCTCAGGCCTTGTTTAGTTCCATTACTTCTTTGACTTTATCTCCTACTGCTTTCCCTCTGGTGTTTTCTGTTTCAGTCATACTGACGTTCTTCTTTCTAGTCTCTGAACATGTTAGGCACACTCTACACTAGGTGTTACCACTTACTCTTTCGTTTCTTGGAACGCTTTCTGCCTCCACTTCTTGGGATCTTGGCTCAAATAAGACTTTTTCAAATGAGGGCTACCTGACTTCACGTTTAAAATTGCAACTCTCTAGTTCTGCCTGTTTTTCTCTGCAGCACTTGTGATGTTTGAATATATTAAATAATTTACTTACTTTCTTTATCATCTAAATAACTAGCAGAGTGTTATGTCCATGAGGGAGGGATTTTTGTCTGTTTTATTCACTGCTGTATTCTCAGTGTTTAGAACAAAGACTGGCACAGATTTGGTGCTAGCTACATGCCCAGAACTATGCCGGATGCTGGTGATATTGCAAAAAACATGACAGATGTGTTCTTAGGCTTATGCACCTTTTATTACAGTGGTAGAGACAGATAGAAAATAAATTGGCAAATATATAAAATATTGCTGAAGTGTTACAAAAAAGAAATATAAGGGGTTTAGATAGAGAATAATTTTTTGTTTGAGAAGTGATGCTTTATAGGTTGGGGAAGGCCTTTCTGAGGTGATGATATTTTTTTTTTAAGATTTTATTTATTTGACAGACACAGTGAGAGAGGGAGAAGCAGGCTTCCCACTGAGCAGGGAGCCCGATGCGGGCTCGATCCCAGGACCCTGGGATCATGACCTGAGCCGAAGGCAGATGCTTAACGACTGAGCCACCCAGGCACCCCTGAGGTGATGATATTTGAGCTGAGACCTAAAAGATGAGAAAGATCTAGCCATTTGAAGAATAGGAGAAGGAATAATTCAAGCAGGGAACAGCAGGTGCAAAGGCCTGAGATAGGAAAGG